TAGCCTATTGTTTGTATTTTACCTATAGATTGATTTCAAGTCCGAGACTTATTCTCGTGGTTGGTTATCATCTATGTTAATTCACATTCTCTGCACTATCTTTTCTTCTTCCTTCTCTTTTCTTTTATTCTAATTCTTAATCCATTTGTTCAATTGAACTTTGTGGGTAAGAAAATTATAATGGTCATAATTATACACGGCCGGGCCGTGGCAGAAGATGATTGAGACTTCAAAGCAAGAAATGGTGACGGAGATGGCATGAAGATGCTCATGAAACCAAAGAAAAATGCATATAGAATCTTGGAAACAATATAAATGTTCCTTGATTTCAGATAAGAGGAACTGACAAAAAAAGACATCACTAGATCTTTTCTCTTATTAGTAGAGTATATAGGGAATTTTTTTTCTAGGTAGATGATGCATCGGAAAAGTAACTTGATGCAAGTATGCTTAAAGTCTTACTTGAGAAGAAAATTGAAGAATTTGGCAAAAATTATGCGGTACAATTGTGACAGATAATGAGACAAATTATAAACTTGCAGCGAGACTACTAGAGAAATGCATTCCTCGTATCTTTAACATAATTTACAAAAAAATACCACCATTTATATAAAATGAAAATCAGTAGAATACATATGTTGACAAATTTTATTTTCTATGAAAGTCAATGAAGTTATGGAAAAAAATATATATCTGCTCTACTTGTAATATTTTACCTAAGCAACCTCAAATTATTTTTACAAAGTGCAGCAAAACACCACTATAATTTATGATAATACTGCATTTTAACCTTGAATCCACGTACCACAAATACAATAATTTTACATAAATCTAATAGAAAAAAAGAATAATTATTATGCATTAATTAACATTGCCTGTAATTTTCGTGAGGAGTCCGGACACCTGACAGTGCCTATGCTGTTTTTTTACCCATTTAACATATATAAAACATAGAAAGAAGACAGGTTTTTTCTAACATGGTACATGTTTTGTTAAATAAAAGCCCGTAGATGTGTTGTACGAATGGAATTCATGGCCTGAAATCAACTATAGATTTTACTATCTCTGACAATGACATATGTTGTATGAATTGTGATAGATAATGGGACAATTTACAAACTTGCAGTGAGACTACTATAGAAATGCATTCCTCGTATCTTTTACATACTTTACAAAAAAAATATACAATTTTTCTTTGAAACGTATATCATTAGATTACATATGTTAACAAATTTTATTTTCTATGAAAGTCAATGAAGCTATGGAAAAAATATATATCTAATAATGATCAGTTTACTCCCTTAAAAATTTACAAATTACTCCACTACTTTTAATAGTTATATAAACAACCTCAAATTATTTTAACAAGTTGCACGAAAAATTCACCGAAATTATTGACATTATTGCAGTTTAATCTTTAATCCACTTACAACAATACAATAATTATACCAAAATCTAAAGGAATTAAAAGAAGAATTATTATGCATTAATTAACATTTCTCATAAAAGTATAATAATTATACATTAATTATTATATGTTTTGTTAAATGAAAACGCATAGGTGTGCACTCCCACAACACAACTATATCCGTTTATTTGTGCTATCTTTGGCTATGACATTTGTTGGCCATTCATATATTGCAATTCTATTTCTTTTAACATAGAATGGCAAACACATGCTACCATCAAAGACATAACAATCTACATTTGATTTCAGTATGTGAAGTGCACTCCCACAACACAACTATATCCGTTTGTTTTAAAATTTTAGTTTTTAATATTTATATCGTGTATTTTTTTGTCTCTTTACTATGTTAAGAATGATGATTGGAGTGAAGGAGGACTATCACTTGCTAGCTAAAAAGCTGTTGGGAAATGATGGAGACGTCAGAGCAAGAAATGGTTGAGGACATGGCAAAAAAGATGCTCATGAAACTGAAGAAAAGGCATATGGAATCTTGGATGTAGTATGAATGTTCCCTCATTTCAGATGGGTGGACTGGCAAATAAGGACGTTACTTGATATATCTTTTTGTCAGTAGTACATAGAGAACTTTTTTTGGAGTCACTTGATGCATCAAAAAAGTAACAAGTTGTAATAATGTTTGCAGACTTCAGAAGAAAATTGAAGAATTTGGCAAATAATATGTTGTACAAATTGTGACAGATAATGGGGACATGTTATAATTAAACTACCAGCGAGAATAGAAGAGAAATGCATTCTTAGTATCTTTTATATGCTTTACAAAAAAAAATACCACATTTTCTATAGATTACATATGTTCACAAATTTTAGTTTCAATGAAAGCAAATGTACCTATGGAAATAATATATATCTTAATAATGAACATATTACTCCCTTGAAAATTTACAAATAACTCACTACTTTTAATATTTATATATACAACCACAAATTGGTTTTACAAAGTGCACCAAAATGCTACTAAAATTATTGACAATATTGAATTTTAATCTTCAATGCACCTACCACAATTACAATAATTACATCAAAATCTAAAGGAATTAAAAGAATAATAATTATGTATTAGTTAGCAATGCCCGTAATTATTGTGCTGATCCGAACACATTACAATGCCTATGCTGATTTTTCTACCCATTCACCACATATAAAACATAGAAAGAACAAAAGTTTATCCAACACGATACATATATTTTTTTTAAAAAAAAATAAAAGCGCATAGCTGTGTTGTATGAATGGATTTTATGGATTGAAATCTCTTATAGATTGTGCTATTTTTTACTATGACATATGTTGTCCATTCATATATTGCATTTATATTTTGTTAACACATAATGGAGAAGACATGCCATTATAAGGCATCACAATCTGCAATTGAACCAGAATGTGCAGTGAATTCCTACAACACAACTATATCCTTTTATTTAACATTTTAGTTGTTTATATTTATATTGTATATTTTCTATCTATTTATTATGTTAAAGAAGGCGACTGGAGTGAAAAAGGGCTCTTAATTGCTGGCCAAAAAACCGTTAGATATGATGAACACATCAGAGCAAAAAATGGTGGAGAAGGTGACGGTGAGGATGCTTATGAAGCTAAAGAAAAAAAGCATATTGAATCTTAGAAACAATATAAATTATCTATAATTTCATATAGACTTACTGAAAAAATAAGATGTCATTTGATACTTACTTGGTAAGTCGTACATAGAGATTTTTTTTTAAATTAAATTAAATGGTTGTACTCAAAAGAGTTACCTACGTAGCTAAGCAGGATCAAGACATAAGTAGTTTTAAGTCCATACAGTGTAAGAACTTAAAATGACAACAAGGGGCAAGCATAGTTACAAACATGAATTTTATTGAAGCAGAAACAAACATGGAGGTATCAGAGAATTTTAAATTACAAAGTCTCATTGGTTTATAATATGCATAGTTAACTGTAAATAATAATGTAATGCTTGGTTTCTAATTTTACAGGGCATAATCAAGCAAACAAGACCACCTACCTTCAACAATTTTCACTTTTTTTCAGAATGAATTGCTTCAATTTTTACTTCAGTCGGGATTATGTTAAACATATTTTATGAATATTTTATGAATTCAATATTTTCCTTGCATGACATATACATTCTACTTGATGACAGAATGCCCCAGATCCATAATAGAAATCTGTATCATGGTTTGTAATTGAATAAAAATACAAAAAAGGAATGCCAAACTACCACAATTAACCTGATATGAGAAACTAATCAACAATATAAATATAACACCAGCAACCACACTAAACAATTCTTCCCAAAAAGAAAATGCATAACATCTGAAGCAAAAATTTATGCTATTGATGGCAACAACTCACACACCTGAATTTCCAATCAACATGTTCCTACAGAATCTAAGAAATTAGGTTTCATATCAATCAAACATACCAACCATGCATTAGTTGCAACTATACCCTAGTTTCCAACAGTAATATCAACATGTAAGCACCACAGAGCAATGCCACATTCGATATAAAAAGCTTCAACCAAACAGATGGTGTTTGCAGTCATCGGCAGCCATCGAACTACCTGAAAGTTCCAATGGAGTCGTTTTACTATAACGAATTAAATAACCTAACGAATAAATTATACTTACATCATCGATGTCCTTTGTGACCACCAGCGCCACAATTTGGAGGATGACTTTGGCGAGTACTTCTACGGAGAATTCGTTGAGTTTCAGGCTGGGATGATTGACGTACAAAATGGAAAACTTCAGCAATATTCGTACCAATGGGAGATTTATGAAAGACCCCATCTTTCTGTGATTGCATATTATCCGCTCCTAAAGCCAGTGACGGTGAACTTTCATGTATACCATTAGTCTCATGTACATCAATAGAATCAACAGGAATATACAACTCCGGACTTAGTTGAGGCTGATCACCATGTACGGAAGTAGTTTCGTACAACTCTAATATCCAATTAGCTCGATCATCTTAAACAACAATGACATTTTGTACAAGATTGAGGTCTCCTACCTGTGTACAACGCTTTAATTGGTTCACCTACACCAAATATCATGTGCACAATGAATAAATAATTAGGATGAATTTAAATATATAAGGAATATATTCCTTATATATTCACCACGGTTAAAGGGTTTATAAAAATAACATCGTAACAAATGGTTGTTTTAGTTACATTAAAATCCGTGACAAAATATTTTTACCGCAAGTCAACGTTTCAAGTTCACTAATTACGCAAAATAGTTTATAACAATTACGAAGATGGTAAACTTTGATCAAAAAAACATTAGTTACGATACTTTTTGTAATTACTGCCATTTAATATTTTTTTTGAATTTAAATTGAATAATTAAAAAAATAAATAAAATTAAATTAAAAGTTAAAAATTTAAAATTTAAAAAATTTAAAAAATGAAAAAAAATAGTTAAAACGCTTTCACGCTTTCAAAAAAAAAATGAGGACGTGTGTTTTTAACAATAGGTATAAGCCCCCACACTTAGAGAAATTTAGGGCACATCATTCCCCCTCAATCGATCAATCGTATTCTCTTTCTCCTTGCACCGACGCAACCATCACCGTGAAACTGGTGGGATCAAGCCTCTACCGCGCCAGCGTCCAGGTAAGGTTTGTAAGTTTTCCCTAGTATGATTCGGTGTCGATCCACGGTTCTTTCTCTCTTTGTTTGAAAGGAAAAATTAATTTGGGTAGTATTAATATTCAATTTTTTCTCAGGTTGATACGGAGCATCCACCTTGGGGGAGTAGCCTCGGGTACGGTACGATTGTTTCCTCATTGTTAAGGTTTGTGTATGGGGCAAACTATTGAGCCCAATTTTATAATTTCTCATTGGGTAAACATCGTACCTTCATGATATCTTGTGAAACCCTTAGATTTCAAAACTACTTAGGGCGATTTGAACTATATCTGATTAGTACGAGTGTTCATATTTGAAATCTATATGGGCTGCCCCCTGATTTGCAATTTATATATAATTTTTTAATCTAAACTTTAGTTACAGACTATTATTAAAATTATTCTTCCTGGCGATTTCATTAATTAGTCTTATAGAAAAACAGTAGACCATACTATGAGATTAAGAAAATCTTTGCAATATTTCTGTTTACATAGGTTATTCTACATTTGGGTAAGTATGACATATAGTGTAAGAATGGTTGGATCATTGGCTTTTACTTGAGAGATGCTCAATTGGGGAAATTGGTAGTCTATTAAATTGATGTGAAGATTCGTAATAAAGTCATACCATTTAAGTCTCTGGAAGTGAAAATCTAAAACAGAGAGTGATTTTGGTTGCTTGTTTATTTATTTAATCAAATTCCAGAAATTTATGTTTGGCTTTTCTTGATAATTTTGGTTTTGATTTTTACAAGATATACAAAAATTAATAATAATAATAATAATAATAATAATAATAATAATAATAATAATAATAATAATAATAATAATATGATGTAGATGCACTGTATACAAGCGTACTAGAAAAAAAAAAAAAGAAAAACAAAGAATATGAGTAAACAATGGATTTCAACAATTAACTGAACCTTTTTTTGGGAATTAAATAAGAGTACGAATACAACTGCTACCTGGTCTTTACTTGTTTGTATGTAGGAGGGTGTTTTGTCTGTCCGTATGTGTTTTCACCAATTCAAGAAACACAATTCAGATGCATAATTTTTTGTGTATATTAATTAAATTGAGTTGTTGTTTCAAACTTTTACTTGTTCTTTTACATTTATTTAAAAAAAAGAGAGTATATATAAGACATGACACATGCACACACTTGACATTATTATTCGACCATTCAAAATTGTAGGCTTTGTTTTACAAATATGATCATATATAAGAGACATCTAATTTGAACTATATCTAATTTTATATGTGTATGGAAAGTTTGCAAACTATGAATAATTTCGATGGGGATTGCTATGTATGGGACACTCTGTTAGCACAGGTACACACAGATAGGCATTCTTGACATACTGTTTTATTATCTTTGAATGTGCTTTTTTTTATGTAAATATATTATTAGGAGATGAGATGGGTTTGGTTTACTTTTAATAACAACCAGTTTTCAACTTGGGATCTCTTCAAAGTTCACATGATGGTCGGATGAGTTGTGTGAGATTAACTTCTGACTTGATTGGGTTGTGCACAAGAAGTTGGGACACCAATCTTAAGGTTAGTTGTTTGGTTAGTCTTGAATTTTACAATTAAGGATAAGAGAATAGAAGAGAAGAGTAGGAATTTGATAGATAGATAGATGGTTATAATATGTTTATGTTACTTATTATTGGAAGATTTTGGCGTTTGGAGGGTACCGCAGAGTTATCTGAAAGAGAAGAGAAGAGGGAGGAGGTGAGGTGAGGTGAGGAAATGCTATCTGCCTCCCTGCTTGGTGGTTGATTGTTGTAATTGCTATGATACTTCTTGTTCTTCTTGTTGTTTTTATATATGTTCTATGTCTTTAACAGACAGACAAAGCAAGGTAACTAGTAAGCAAGCAAGTTCAGTAGATAAACTTAGAAGTCATAGTGGAAAATAAGTATTCCTAATATAAATGCATTTACATTAGAACCAAATAATTGTTCAATCAATTAACTTACAGTACCATACTTGTTTGTTTGTGGGGAAGGACGATAAGATGAACATGCAGATGTAAATGAAAATGGAGAGAAATTCAGATAAAATGAAGGATTGGAAGAAGAAAAAGGAAAGAAAATAGATTTGTTTTCTGATGAATTTAGAAGTTTCCATATTAAGTTGTCAAGATAGAAGCATGCTTGCTTAATTTTGGAATGGTGCATATGAAGCATGAAGTTTTTTTTTTTTTTTCAAATTACGTTATACCAATTTATATCATATTGTACTGTCTCATGTTTTCATTTATTTTTTTTCCTTTTAGATCACTCCTAATGGATATGCATAGATGGCTCCATGTGCAGTGCTCTATCTGATAGTTTAGCATCTGCATTCATTAGTTTCAATATTTTAGTTTAGTTTGTTTCTAGTTTTGCAACATGTTTGTTTTCTAAATGTGGGTTCTAACCGTTAGGTGTTATGTATTTGTTTTATTTTATATTAAATTCTTCACCAATGTTTATGTTTTATAATTAATTTTTCTCTTAGGTTGGACGTGAGAGGCATTCAACCTTATGTCTTATGCAAAAATTTGTAAACTTGAAAGAAATGGTAACTAAATTGCAGATTATATTTGCATGTGTTGTTGATCACTTAAATGGCTTTATTTTTTTGTTGAAGCTGATAGACAACATGATATCTGTGAAGTGATTTTCTTGCCCTTGTTTGAGTATATGATTATTATACTAGTTAAAGTAATTGTGTTTGAACAATCTATCTACATTTGAGGCTTTTTGTTAGATGCATGCATAAACAGTTTCGTGTGGGTGTATTATATGTATCATATATCTACTTGAATTCTTAGTAATGTTAGGAACTATCTAAAAATTTTGAATTTGCAGGCACATAAAGGGATTGGGACTGTATATTCCAATAAAGTGATGAAGGTTCTAACTAATGAAATTTTTCGTTTTCAATCGGTAAGAAACAAAATGGTTGGAATCTCTAAGGGCATGTTGGCCCGATCTTGAGTGGAAGGTATAAACGTGATCTTGCATAGGAGGAAACTATCTGCTAACATTGAGAAATTTCATTGGTATTTCTGGAAAACAATTTGCTAACTTTGTGAATTTAACCAATATATGCCAGGTAGTATATGTCAATGAAGTTCGGAAGAAAGTAACTATGAAATTGATTCCAAGGATTGATTTAAAAGCAATGGATGAAAAAATTGTAAGAATATTCACTTCTTATTGTTTTCAGGTGTTGTGAGATGTCTGCCATTCCATTTTGATGCAAATGCCTATAGATGTATAAGTGTAAACACCTGCACGGGCCTGCACAAGCACACATGTTAATATTCATTTGTAGAGCTGTTTGGTAGTTTATTATTGTTGTATGATTTATTGTTATTATGTTTTAGTGGTCACCCCGAAGTTATGTTTTGGTTTTAGTTGTTGGTATATGCTTATTTAAGATAGGATCTAGACAATAATTTGATGGAAATTTTTGGTTGGAGTACAAATTTCTGTATCTCACTTTTCAGAACCATGTTATCGGTTAGAATTGGTTTAATGTAATTTGTGTAGTTTCAAATTGGTTGAAATAGGTTTAATTAATTTGTTTAATTTCGGATTGGTTGAAATAAGTTTAATTTAATTTATTTAATATCAAATTGGTTGAAATAGGTTTTTTGTAATTTATATAGTTTCGGATTGATTGAATTGGTTTAATGTATTCCATGTCGATCCAAATGAAGAGACATACAAGGATTTGCAAATTTTTAGTTCAATTTGTATTTTTTGTTATTATCTAATTGATTTGCAACTTAGTCTAATGTATTTTTGTTATTATCTTAGTATTTCAATGCAACTTGTTTTTAGCCTTTGATACTTTTTTTTTTTGTGTATTTCAAACATCTATTTAATAATTTAAAATTTAGACTGATATACTATTATGATTTCAGTTCAGCTTCTTCATTGGCATGGTTCTTGGATACTTTTTCCGGGGATTCAATTCCACTTTACTCTCTTTCTGTTGGTAATTGCAGCTCATGTGCCACCCCTGAAGCATATCAACCGATTCCTTAATGTTTTGCCCCCGTTTGCCTAATGGATTGGATGTTGTAGATGTGTTTGAAAGGTAGGTGGTTACGGCTATGTGTAATACCTATGGAATAGATGCATAGACATTTGGAGTTCTTTTGTGTGGTGAGAATTGTTGCTATGGATTGGTGGATTTCCCCACTTGCTTATTACTAGGTTGGATGTTTAAAATGCTTGCATTTTGTGGAACATAATATTGAAGTGAAGATGTTGCTAGGCTTGTTTGATGGGTTACTTTATTTTGTTGTTTGACGGTGGACATCGTCTAGTAAATATTGTTATGTTAATATCCTATGTTGGGATTCCCTTATAGTGTTTATTGTTTGCAATGGCCAATCGTAATATTTTTAGCATGGTTGTTTACAAAATTTCCTTTGGTGTAAGAAAGATCACAACAGGTTAATTTGTTACGCACAATTTCAATTGTACCACAACTACTCTTTTTTATAAGACGCTATTTTTTGTAACAAAAGGAAGAAATGATGCTATTTGTTATGAATGGATAGTTTTGTTAAGGATTCAATGACATAACAAAAAAAATAAATGATGTAACAAAAAGTGGTTTTTGAACGTAAAAAATATGAAGGGATAATTTTGTTACAGCCGATTTCGTGACCATAAGAAAATATATTATTTATATTACGGATTCAATGACGTAACAAAAAATCGTAACAAAAAACGTACTCTGACAAGCGGTCATAGTAAATTTTTTGGTAACGCGAGGAACTTTTGTAACAATTATCGTGACTAAAAGTCCTGGCACACGCGTGGGAAGCTCGACTTTTTATTACAAGAGAATATTCGTAACAAATATCGTAACAAAAACCTTGCCATAAGGAACATTGACCGAGAGTAGTAGTTACGAAAATGTGCGTGGGCAAAAACATTCGTTACGCGAGTACACATTACGGATAAAAGTCGTCAGTAAGGCGTAGCAAATACGCAAATTACACGAAAATTGGCTTTTTGTTATGAATTTTCGGTCGTAGCAGAAAACTATTTTTTTGGTAGTGAATAAGAGATATAAAAATACCACAAAATGATTGTAAGATGGTAGACCAGTCGGATAACCGGCCCGTGTACGCAACTCCGGATTGTTGATAATCCATCTTGAATATGTTCTAAATCATTGCAAATATTCCGGAGTATGAGGTATATCATTCAACGCCGACTGCCCATTCATCAAATTAGGTTGATTCCATTATTGAATAAATATCTTATAAGTTTTCAACCAATTCTTTGTGTCGGATTCCTGAGAAGAACTATGAGTATTCCTATGTTGAACTAAGCCCAGTTTCCGAAGCACTATATCTATGAAATGATGTTCAATTCATCGTTCATATAACAAAGGTCCTTGGTAACGGAATACAGTTGAAGGACAAGAATGTGGTAAACTATCATAGAAATTGGGCTCGTAAGGCCACCAATTAAATTGCACAAAAAAATATAATATATTTATATTAAAAAATTATAACATAAAAGTTATATAATTATTGAAATGTTATTAAAATACCTGTCCATTTCCTTCATGATCAAGAATATCATGTATAACAGCCGCACAACCATGAACAGTTGGAGTAAAATCATGTTTACCCCGAGCTCATCTATAATAACCAAATACAATTTGAGGATTAAAAATACAAAATATTTTAATTAAGAAATACTTGTATAAATCACAATACCTAGCTCCGTAAGGCACAGTAGGAAATATTACACCATTAGCAAGCATTTGAGGATCGACATCAATAGAGTTTATTGATTTAATTCGATGAGCCAACATATTTAATCGAGACCTGCCCAAATCTAGAAAAAAAATACTTAAACAAAAAAATAGTGTTCTTAAATAAATTTAAGATGTCAATTTATAAAAATATACCTGTAAAAATGTGAGGGAGCCACTAAGCTTTTTTTTTTTTTTTTTTACTCCAATAATAGCTAAACAGAGATTATGATATAGACATGCAAGACAAGCGCTCCCCCAACTATACTTATCAGAAATGTCAAGTTTCTGCAGATATGATAAGTAAATCAACCAGACCCTACTACCATCTAAATTAGGAAGTATGCTACCCATAACCATCAATATCATAAATCCACATGCCCAACACTCTACTTTTTCTCCGGGACTATCATTATCGATTTGAAACTCATCACTCTTCAAATGATCTTCTAAAGTAAAGTGCAAAATCCATGGTCCATGCTTAAAATATTATGGACTGAGAGACAATTGTAACAAATCCATACAAATCTTTGAAGAGTGCTCTATGGTCTGTCGAGATGTGGCATCACTGACAATAGGTTTACCATCAAGGGGTAACTCATATATCATAGCAACATCTTCTAATGTAATTGTTGCCTCACGGAATGTGAAATGGAATGTATGTGTTTCAGGATGCCATCGCTCAACTAATGCTATCAAAAGACCAGGATCATGTCTAACATGTCCAACTCTATATACACCATAAAATCCAATATGATTTAATATCTCAAGGACCCTAGGATGACATAATTTAGATATATTAGTCCAATATCTTTTCGGACAAACAAGACTAAACTTATGATCGGTTAATTCACCATTCCAAATATACTCAGAACGGTATGTAGATTGAAGATGAAGTGGACAATCGTTACTGGGCCAGACAATCCCTCCCAATATGAAAATATCACAAAACACTGTCGATATTCCAAATTAAACATATACGTTAAAAATATATGTGGTTTTAATTTAGTATATATATAAATATAAATAATGCTTATATTGAAATCCATATCCTATTATATTAAATCAAATATAAGCCCCTCAACACAAATATAAACTCCTAAAATTTTTTAAAACAATAAAAATTATATCAACTCAAAGTACTACTATTAGAGAAATGGTATAAACATAAATATGGCAATAAGAATATGCAATATTACAAAAATTAGAAAAAATATATATACCAAAAAAAATAATTTAAATATGATAAATAAAAATTATGAAAATTATATGATTATACAATAAGAAATATTAAAATAATAAAAATAATAAGATGATACCTTGTGAAGAAGATGCTAGAGAACAATCTAGATTGAAGCAACTTTCAAAATTTTCCAACAATCCGATAGGAAATTGGAGATATAAAGAGAGGTGGTGATTTTAGAGAAAATAGAAGTGAGACTTGAATTGATTTATGATATTTATATGAAAACGAACAAAACACAAAAATTAGAACAATAATTTTATTAGTTTCTACATTAATCTCTCCGCCAACCAAACTCACCAAATGTATTTTCCAAACCAACAAACAAACAAAATAGAGCAAAGGGAATTTTTTTAAAAAATCAATTACCATAGAGGAGCGGCACCAGCGGCAGCGGTAGAGAATCGCAAAAGAATAATCGCTGAAGAAAACCCTAAAGAATCGCAGAAGAAAACGGGATGGAGATTTAGGGCTTTGAATGATATTTATTCTGATTTTTAATAAAAATATTTATAGTAATTTTTAAAAATACTATATTTAATAATTTAAAAGTTTTTAAAAACTTCTAAATTTAAAATTTTAGGAGTTCTGAAAACTATTACAATGTATTAATATAGTAGTTTTGAAAACTCCTTTGGGACTAGAATTTTAAATGGCACTTTGACTTAGGCCATTTTTTTAAAAGGCCCCGTCATCTTTGGTGCCACACCGTAAAAAATTATATATATATTTTTAATTCGTGGTGCTAACTTCTGCGCCAAAACATAATCGTAGTTTTATATTTAAATATTTTGTAATGAATTAATATATAATAACAACAACATAAAAAAAATAAAAATAATAATAATAATAATCATAATAATAATAATAATAACACAAATTGCATTTCTCCTATTGTCCAATTGATAGAATGTCAATGGGTTAAGATGAATTCAATGTCTCGTACAAATATTTCAGACTTTCTTTCTTGGATAGACCAAACAGAACATGAAACACTAGGATTCATATATATTGGCACAACTAGTAAAGTTTAGGGCCAAAGCTTTTCCCAGCATCAAGTGTTTGGAGGAAAAAGTCAAGATAATAAAATTACACATTTTTTTTTTTTGATATCTTAAATTAAAATATCCAAGAATAAACTGCAAAAAGACAAACATGAGGGAAATAGAATTGAGTGTTGTGGGATCTATTCTGCAATTAACAATAGATAGAGAAAGAACTTACATAAACATATGTATATACTTCAAATCAAACTAACAAACTAGGAGTGTGCAACTCTAGAAAATAGGGTACCAGTAATGCTATGAAAGGCTTCATCAAAAGGGATTTAGCATTAAATAAAAATGAACATACTAACAAATATTTTTTAAGTAAAGAACTTATGTAATGCTTTAAGCATAACCATTCCATAGTAAATGTACAGAAGAATTCTAATTATATATATACTAGTACTCGTGAGCGTGCTACGCCACGCCACTTCTTTGATTGTATGATTTTTTTAAAGGAAGTAGTTTTTATATAGGTATACCTGCTGGCTCGGCAGGCGGGGCGATTTGGAGGTCGGGTGATCGGTCGGCTTGTGGGTCAGTTGCTAGATCGGCATTTGGGGCGGGTTTTGGGTCGGCTTGGGGGTCGGATGGTGGGCCCGGCGGTCATTAGCGTGGGAGGTCGCTGGTGGGGCGGATTGGGGGTCGGCTGGAACGTCCGACCACCCGACTTTCGACCCACCCACCAGCCAACGTAGCAGCGGACCCACCACCCGACCGAACGGCCTATTATCTGATTCTCTTTCGTAAGTATAATTTTTTTTTTATATGTTTAGATTCATATAATTTTTTTTTTTTATTTTTACTTTTCATTATATCAATATATATATAATTCTTTTCTTTTTTTTAATAATATTTCCCAAAAAAAAAATAAAGTAAAGCATGATTTAATAATTAATATTTAAGAACGTTATAATTGATTTTATAAATGTTTAAATTTAAAATTATTCCAGGTGTTTGTTATGAATATAGCATTAACATTTTATTCTTGATATTGTATTATATTTGGAGGAAGAAGTTGGATCATGGTCATGGTGACCAACACAAAATATGTCCTTATTTTTTTTACACGATCTTCTTCATAATGGTCAATGTTAATTTTTCACAGCATTTTAAATTTATTTTGAAATTTTTTTTAGAACTTTCAAATATATGAATATATTAAAAAATATTTTCAAATTTTTTTTCAACATTTACCAAAAAAGTGTCCTGAGGGCGGTAAGTAAGTTTGCCCATTGCTGTGCTGACCGGGCCCTCCTCCGCAGTTGGAATGGCAG